GATTTGTTAATATTCAGACATACATACATACATATTTATAAATCTGATTTGTTAATGTTCAAACATACATACATATATATATTTATAAATCAGATTTGTTAATGTTCAAACATACATACATATATATTTATAAATCAGATTTGTTAATGTTCAAACATACATAGATATATACTTATAAATTAGATTCGTTAATGCTCAGACATACATACATATCAATTTAAAAATCAGATTTGTTAATGTTCAAACATACATACATATATATTTATATACATATATTTATAAATCGGATTTGTTAATGTTTAGACATACATACACATATATATATATATTTATATTCTGTAACTCAAATTTCATAATAACAATATTTGTGGTCTTTCTTACCACGAATGCTTAATTTGATGACTTTACTTATGCTTGGGGCTATATCATTAGTTGCTTGGCATAAGTAAAACCCCGCGTCCTCTTTCTGTGCGTTGTGAATGGCCATTGTCCCGTTTTCATAAACGTAAAGATGTGAGCTACTGCTGATTGGTCGGAAATCTGCAGAACGGTCTCCTATTGGAGAGAAATTTTATTGCTTGAATTAACATCATTGAAGAATCTTACTAAACAATAATGTGGTAATACTAAGAAGAAATGTACAGATGATGTAGTCATGTTAGATCCCGTTTATAGGATGTAACATAAAAACAAGTGATATTTACATGATCAATCTAATATTTCACCCTAAGCTGAGTTTGACTTAAAACAAAACTTATAAAAGTGTCACTTTAAACTGTGAACTGAACTCTTTACAACAAAAACTTTTCCGTAACACAGTAGTATTTTGAATACTGTCAGATTAAGATAATACATGTGAAAATCATTCTACAGAATGAATGTTTATATACAAGACATTCACTCAACTGAAGAAATCGACTTGTTTCTAAAATGAATAAAAATAAAAAATTAAATACAATACAAAATACTATTTTAGACAAAAACATTAAAAAGATTGGGAAAAATTCTACTATAAGATATTCGCTTATGAGGCATAAGATATAATATTTTAGGGCTTTTTTGCCCGATTAAAGGAACGCTTCATACTATATACAATATGAGCAACAGTTATTAAGTAACTAATACATCTGGCTTAAAGTATAAACTACACCAGTGACGGATGCTGTATGACTTGGCCAGGTAGTTAGGGCGCTCGATTCGCAATCTGAGGGTCGCCGGTTCCAATCCCCGTCCCACCAAACATGCTCGCCCTTTCAGTCATGGGGGTGTTATAATGTGACGGTCAATCCCACTATTCGTTGGTAAAAGTGTAGGTGATGATGACTAGCTGCCTTCCCTCTAGTCTATCACAGTTAAATTAGGGACGGCTATCGCAGATTAAGAGCTCGAGTAGCTTTGCGTAAAATTAAAAATAAACTAACTGTTAATATTCAAATCACTTTCACTGATTTATGAGAATATTAAATCAACATGTATTAAAGTATACATTATATCGTATGTATGTACACAAAATGGTCATATACAATATAAACATTAAGGAATGTTTACCAAGCCGTCTCATCTGTAAATAAGCTATCGTTTTTAACCGCGAATATAATCGTATGTGTAAGAAGGCCACACGGTTCAGATAATGCCGTCCCTGATTTGAATTACTGACGAAATGAATGACAGACAGTAGCACCTGTCGCCACAAAGGTTTGGACCAAGTAACAGGATTCACTTTCACTTTTATAACGCGCCCACAGCTGAACTGAAGATCAGTGGAATTACTGCTCGAATCCTGGAGCCCCGCAATGTCTGCGGACTTACAACGCTAGAATCCGGGTTTCGATACCCGTGGTCAGCAGAGGACAGATAGCCCCTTGTGTAGCTTCGTGCTTAATTACAAACAAACAACAAAAGAATCCTGGATCTTTTGTTCCACAGTCCAACATGCTAACCATTAGGCTACGCCTGGCACAATATATGATGAAATAAACATTTTTACTAACGGCTATTCTGAACGTAATTGCTTAAATTATAGCATTAATTATTTGTTGAAAAGCGACAGTTACACGTATCAAGTCTGGAGCCATTTAACTAAAAGTTATCAGAATTTCCTGATTAATGTTCATCAGAATTTCGTGATTAATGTTCATCTAATACCAACAATTAATATTCTTCTGTCGTTAAGTCGAACCCATAATCAGGACGTACTTCACAATACACCTGTTCCTCTTCTACCTGCCCCGTAGTAAATGGGTATAAATTTTTAAATATACAAAAAGGGTTATTAACATCTCTTGCATTTTACCATTAACATCAAAAATAATTCTTCGCAGAAGTGAAACAAGCCAGTTATTAAGTCGAATCCCTAGTTACATGACTGAGGTAATGATTTTTCCTAGGCCTGTTATTACATAAAACTTTCCGCGATTAATATATTTTAATCACGACTTGTTTTGAAACTTTTTTCTGAACTTCGAGTGACGTAGCACGCCTTGTGAGTTCTGTCACTGCTGAAGACTAAGATTAATGGACCACAGGTAGACTAATTCATCTTCTTTGTCACAAGATAAGCCTTTACAGCAAATGCAAATTAAACCTGTATTTCAAAGTCTGTCATCGAAGGAAGAAGGTATTTTGTTAAGAAGGAAAGCATGGTTGTGATACAGCTTGCACAGTTTTCAGAATTGTTCTTACTACAGCAAATCAGCAAGTTACGTGACAACTACAGCCGATATAAAATCGTAGTGTGATGCTACTGAAAACTGATCGTTTTGGGGGAAAGATATGGAAAATATTCTTACACTCAGATCATAAAGACGTGTTCAGGTAGGAGATTTAGAATTTCCAAGACAGGTATGTATATATCCCTTGCACTTAACGGCAGTGGAGAACAAAGAGATATGTATCAACTTGAGGTAAACTGACGATCTTGCTTCTTGATAATAGCCCTTCAGCATAGCTTACATTGCAAAAAATTCCATTCTAAGGCTGTCATGTCTAAAGCACACCTCTCCTCCTTGTATGCTTTCCATAATTTATTTAGTAGTCAAGGCCAACTGTTTCACAGCATCTGTTTCAACAGTATTATTACATGGAAATTCATAGGCCCTATGCTCGGTAACTTGACAAGAGTATTTTACTATAGAATATCATGAATATCAATTCATTCTCCAGCTGCTTGTGGTATGTGCCAGTTGAATGGATATGTCGTGAAAGCAACTTGTGTACACATGTTTGATTTTGCTATTCCAGATATACATTCTTCTTGATTGTATTGCGTACTGTTGCGTGGAACACATGGAAGGCTGTTACCATTGACCTTTGTGTTTATGGATTCTTACCTGTTATAAGTCGTCGCACTTTGCTTACCGAAGGGTATGACTTGTTGCAGGTCTCTTTCTGTATTGTCCTGGAGGGCATGACTGGCTGAGCAGAATATCCACGATATTTGGTTTCATTTCATTAGAAAGAAAACCCATTGGGTACTAAAGGCAAAGATAGGTCGAGTAGAAAATAAAGAAGACGCGATAATTTACAATAGCGACTAATGTCTTTATTTTTCTACCAGCTTTAAACAACTTTATATAAAATACAATGATATTTATCAAAATAAAATAGTAGTAGGAGTATAAATTTTCAAGCACCACATTCTTAATTTAGTCCCTTAAGAATTTCCAAGAATTATAAAAATGTATAATAATAGTATTCCAACCACAGTTTAACGTATCCATTACCGATGACGTGTTTAGCTCAACCCAGAGCTCTTCAAGTTGTCTGGGATACAACAAGCATATCAGTGGTTGGAACTGATTTAAGCCATTTGATACGATAACAGTTGTTATAGTGTGTACACCTTTTACAAGCTGACGAAGAATGATTACAATTATAGTATCACACGACATTATTATTAGGCCTATTGAGGATTTTCAAGAATTAGAAGAGCGTATAATAACAGTACTTCAACTATGTTTTTGCCGTATATACAAAATAGCTTAAGAAGCCTGCACGAAAAAGATTTAAACAATTTATATTACGCAAAGTTGTGTTCGAATCTCCTTTTACAGCTCCTATTGTCACTCGAACAACATTTAAGCAATTTAAATATGATGTGGATCGAATTATTGTTGTTTTAAAAACAAGTTAGTTGCCGATTTTGTCTCCCACAATTAATGTTGAATAAGTTTTTTGTTCAATACTCATCAAATGTTTCTATGAAATGCTATTTATATATGCAGTATAATACAACCCAACTGATGAGTTCTGGTATTAGACGAAAAACTTATTGGGCAGCGACTGGTGGGAAAAGAATGATAGGTCTGAAATGATATTTTTACACACCTCTGATTTCAGGCCATTTCAGGACAAACTAAGAGGAATATAGAAAACAGCAACAAAAACAAAAACACAAAAGCCTGCAGTTAATTTGTTTATATAACCATTTTTAGGCTTATTGGTTTCCAATATTTCGCTGGCTTTTGGCGTTTAAACCGCACTTTTAAAGTAGTATGATGTATCTATAAATAGCGTTTTATAAAATATTTTGTGTGTGATCGTCCAGCTCAATCGATGAGATCTGATACTGAATGGAAAGCTTGTAGGACAGTGATTTGTGGGAGACAAATGATGTATCTGAAATACCTTGTTTTACGAGCCAAGCTTGTTGAACAGTGATTTGTGGGAGACAAATGATGTATCTGAAATACCTTTGATTTCGAGCCAAGCTTGTGGGACAGTGATTTGTGGGGAGACA